CCACATTTGGAGTTCTATGTACAGTTCTGGTTGCCACATTACCAAAAGAATGTGGATGCTTTGGAGAGGGTGCAGAGGAGGTTCACCAGGATGTTGCCTGGTATGGAGGGCGCTAGCTATGAAGAGAGGTTGAGTAGATTAGGATTATTTACATTAGAAAGACGGAGGTTGAGGGGGGACCTGCTTGAGATCTATAAAATCATGAGGTATAGACAGGGTGGATAGCAAGAAGCTTTTTCCCAGAGTTGGGGACTCAATTACTAGGGGTCATGATTTCAAGGTGAGAGGGGAAAAGTTTAAGGGAAATATGCATGGAAAGATCTTTACGCAGAGGGTGGTGGGTGCCTGGAACTTGCCAGCAGAGGTGGTAGAGGCGGGCATGATAGTGTCATTTAAGATGTTTCTAGACAGATACATGAATGGGCAGGGAGCAGAGGGATACAGATGCTTGGAAAATGAGCGACAGGTTTAGATAGAGGATCTGGATCGGCGCAGGCTTGGAGGGCCAAAGGGCCTGTTCCTGTGCTGTAATTTTCTTTGTTCTTTGTTCTTATAAAAGTTTATGAATACATGAGGGACATAGATAGGGTTAATGGTAGTTGTCTTTTCCCTAGGTTGGGGGATTTCAAGACAAAGGGGCACAGTTTAAAGGCAAGAGGAGAGAGATTTAAAAATGACAAGGGGCACATTTTTTATACAGCGGGTGGTTTGCATGTGGAATGAACTTCCTGAGGAAGTGATGTAATTGTGCCCACATCCAATGTTTAAAAGACTTTTGGATAAGTGCATGAATAGGAAACGTTTGGAGGGATATGGGGCAGGAGCAGGTGTGTGGGATTAGTTTGGTTTGGGATTATGTTTGGCATGGACTGGTTAGACTGAAGGGTTTGTTTCCGTGCTGTATGACTCTAAGACACTGGAAACAACAATGACAAACACTACCCAACAGACCTTGCAGATCCTTCATTATGGATCTCTCAGATTCAGTGTCAAAATTGGTCAAGAGAGAGAGGAGAGATGTCGGGGAATGCAGGGAAGAGAGAGGAGAGGGGAATGGGGGGATGGGAAAGACAGGCTTCTGAACTGAAGAAGAAAGCATACTGGTCTCAAAATGTTAACTCTGTTTCCATCAGGTCTATTGATCTTGGAATGCTAAGAAAACCTTGGGATTGATTTTATTGTAACCATCGTTGTAAACCTTCGTCTCCTCCATCCTCACTTCCAACTCCAGTGTTGTGAGTTCATAGACATCTTTGTCAATGAGATTGAAACAACCTGAACAACTACTTTTGCTGTTCCATCCTCCTCGCTTCTAGCCAATCAGGCCAGGCTGCCTCCAAATCTCTGCTCAATGATTTCTCTAGCTTGGCTTCTATTCCCTCTCATCTCACCTGGTTCAAGAGATCCATTTTCTGCTCTCTCAATCATATTCCCACTGACGTGACTGTTCAGTTTCTCTTTCTAATCACCTTTAGCAGATATTCATAGAATAGAATCATAGATGCCGTACAGTGTGAAACAGGCCCGTTGGCCCAACAAGTCCACACCGAACCTCCAATCATCCCACCCAGACCCATTCCCCTGTAACCGACCTAATCTACACACCCTGGACACTATGGTCAATTTAGCATGGAAAATTTACCTAACCTGCACATCTTTGGACTGTGGGAGGAAACCGGAGCACCCGGAGGAAACCCACGCAGACACGGGGAAAACGTGCAAACTCCACACAGTCGCCCGAGGATGGAAACGAACCCAGGTTGCTGGCGCTGTGAGGCAGCAGTGCTAACCACTGAGCAACTGTGCCGCCTGTATATTGTCAATAGTTGTCTCCCCTCAGTGTTGTCCCTCTCCTTCAAATCTGTTCTCATCAATTCCTTCCTTAAAGCAAAACCATTTAACCCCTCTGCCATGCAAAACTATACCATCTCCAACTTATTTTCCTTGAATATCTTTTCACTTCCCAAATCTGTGGCTACCTTTCCCAGAAATTCATTTTTTAAACATCCCTCCAATCAGGTATTCACCCTGCCACAGTAATAAACTGGGACTTCAAGTCACAAATGACATTGTTTTCAGTTCCACAACAAGCATCATTCCTTCATATCCCTCTCGTTCACAACAGTTTGAGGTTGACCCAGACATTTTGTGGTGTTAAAGGTGCTAGATAACCGTAAGTTGATTTTTTTTCTTTGGTAAAAGTTGAATGAGAGGATGGGATTGATGAGAGAACAGGAGAAATTTGCAGTTTTTCTTGAACTCAAGCCAGTCCTGCTATTTCACCATCTCCAGTTCCTTCTGTGTCAACCTTTTGTCTTCACTTGTGTTACAGGAATAAACAATAGAGACTCCTCATTCTCCTTCTGCACTGGCATTCCCTCCTGCAATTAGCAACCTTCCATTTCCAGATGCTTATCATGCTGGAGTCAACCTTCCCCGATGCACATTGTTGAACTCCGAAATAAGTGTTAGATCAATACAGAACATTTTGGGTGAGGGCTCTGCTCACAATGCTTGAATTGAATTGAATTAGCTTTATTGTCACATGTACTCAAATGAGTACAGTGAAGAGTTTATATGTTGCCATCTTAGGATCATAGGTACCCAAGTACAATCCTTAGTTACAGATTAGAGAAATGGAAAAAAAAGTTGCATTGCAGCTGTACACAGTATGACCATAAGTCAGAAAAACAAGAAGCAAAGTTTAAAAAGACAAACATCACCCTCTCTCTCTCAAGTCTCTCTGCAACAGACCAGTGCAGGGGGCCTCCATATGGTCTGACCACTGACTGGCCCCACTCCCACACCGGGCCACTACTGCCACACTCCACACTAGGCTGCTAGTCACAGGCGTCCCCGCTCCGGCCGCTGGTCGCAGGTGTCCCTGCTCTGGTCGTGGGTGCCCGCACTCCGGCCGCTGGTCGTGGGTGCCCACGCTCCGGTCCTGAGTGTTCGCGCTCTGGCCGCTGGTCCCAGGTGTCCGCGCTCCAGCCACTGGTCGCAGGTATCCCCGCTCCGGCCGCTGGTCGTGGGTGTCCTCACTCTGGCTGCTGGCATTTCCACAGACCATTGGCCCCGCTTTGGAGGCTGGGACATGGTGTCCGAGGCCAAAAGAAGGGAGGAGAGAGGGCAAAAGAAAAGAAGAAAAGAAAAAGAACAGCAGAGGAGCTCTGCCTGGAGCATTCTACTCTGCCACGATCTTACCAGAACTTACCGCTTCAGATCCATTTAGACACACCAGAGTTTAAGAAGTTTAGGAGAACTTCAGAGAAAATGAAGATGAAATTGTTCAATGTTAGAAACAGCGTCAGCTTAATGGAATTCATTTTACCAAGCAGTGAACTGAGAAACCCTGGGTCCTGGGTCTCCAAGTGAGTACTGCCTCTTGCTCGTTTAGAAACGATACTCATAGAAGCGTAGAATCGAGGAGCAGAAATAAGCCTTTCAGCCCTTTCATCCTGCTCCACCATTCAGTATGATCATGGCTCATCATACATCTCCAAACCATGTTCCTGTTTATTCCCCATACCCTTTTAATCTCTTCAGCCCTTAGAGCTATGTTTACCTTCTTGAAAACTTTTTGCTTCATCTACTTTCTGTGGCAAAGAATTCCATAGGCTCAGCACTATCAAAATTAAGAAATTTCTCTTCATCTCAGGCCTAAAAGGCCTACCCTGTACTCTTAAACTGTGACTCCTTGATTCTGGACTGTCTGGTCATTGGGAAGGTCCTTCCTGTGTTTATCCTGTCAAGTCCTGTTCGAATTTTATAGGTGTCTACGAGATCCATCCTCATTGTTCTAAACTCCAGTGAATATAGGCTTAATTGATCCAATCTGTCTTCATATATCAGTCCTGCCAATCCAGGAATCAGTCTGGTAAACCCTCATTGCAGTCTCTCCATTGCCAGAACATCCTTCCTCAAATAAGGATCCCAAAACTGCACACAGTACTCCAGGTGTGATCTTATCAAGAACTTGTACAATTGCAGCAAGATGACCCAGCTCCTATACTTGAATCCTCTCACTATGATGGCCAATATATTATTTGTTTTCTTCATCACCTGCTGCACCTTCCTGTTTATTTACAGTGATTGATAGGCAGGGACACCCCGGTCTCATTGCATCTTCCATTTCCCAGTCTATTGCCATTCAGATAATAATTTGCCTCCCTGTTTTTGCGACCAAAGTGGATAACCTCAGACTTATCCATGTTATACTTCATCTGCCATGCATTTGCCTACTTACAGAGCTTGTCCAAATCACACTGAAAATCACATTAGAGTGTTCCTGATTAGCCTTTAATCACCACTAAGTACCTCATTACCATATTAACCCAGGACTCTTGTGCTGCTTTAATCAATAATTCATTGAAGGGATAGAGTTGCTTCTACTTAAAATGTTGATGCATTTGTACATTCATTCATCCATCAATGCTTCCACCATTTTCCAAGTATTAAAATGGGATGACAAAAGGTCGTTTGGATGTCAGTTCCTGTACAGAATAAATGCAGTCTACTTGATTAAGGGCATTAGTACATTCATCATGATCTTCTAAGGAAAATTCTACATAGATATCACAAATCGCCAAAAATCAAGAAAAATTTTATTTTAAATTTCCAACATTCTATCCTCCAGTTTCACTCAAGCCTTCTGGGTTCAAACAACACAATTCACACAGAGGGTGGTGTGTGTATGGAATGAGCTGCCAGAGGAATTGATGCAGGCTGGTACAATTACAACATTTAAAAGGCATCTGGATGGGTACATGAATGGGAAGGATTTAGAGGGATATGGGCTAAATGTTGGCAAAAGGGAACAAGATTTATTTAGGATATCTGGTCGGCATGGATGAGTTGGACCAAAGAGTCTGCTTCCATGCTGTACATCTCTATGATTTTATAAACACATGGAGTATTTGATCATCAGAATGATGGGGAAACTGTACTTTGTGTCCAGTGGGGCATTGATTGTAATCCTTTGTTTGTTTCTTTATAAACAGGGAGGAATCCTGGGAATAATAATAAGCTGGATCTGTGACTTGGATAAGGCAGCTTCAGAATGTAACCCTCATTATTCCTTTAGAAGACTTGATTCTGTTTCCCAAGGTAGTGAATCTTCCTTAGGATATAATTTCAGGTCAGTGCATCCCTTGCTTTCGGGGTGTGAGTTCTTATCTGTTGATATACTCTTGTTTTGCTACAATAAGAATTGTTACTTATCTTTAAGATTGAGAGACTTAACATGCATAATGGAAGACTCTACTAAGGTTATAATAAACTGAAGGGAAAAAAATAGTTTTACTCTCTGAATGTATATTCATCTCTCAACATCTGTGTCACTACATCTTCATCAATTACACAGCATCCCATTCTCACTGAGCTTTGTTAGTTGCATTTGGGTGTAACGTTCAAACAAAGAACTAGCACCATAAAAGAAACTCTCAATTTTCACTTTCATTTTTGTGTCTGAATTACAGGCATGCAAAGTACTACATGGAGAACGGCACTGAATACAGGACTTTAATAAAAGTGTTTGGGATAAGAATTGACATTGTTGTTCACGGTGAGGTAAAACCAGTTTTTTATTCAAATTATTTCCCACTTACATGCCTAACTAGTAAGTGTTAAACTTCTGCTGAAAGGAGACTACTCTGATTGTATGAAGTATGTTGTGTTTTTCCTATACGTTTTAGCTGCAAGTTTGATTTTCAATAGATTTCATCACCCTTTTTCAAAATTTTCACTATTGTTAGTCTCGGATGAGTCCATTCTTTATCCCACTGGGCTGGCTGACCCCATCTCAAACTGTACCACGGTACCCTATCATCAAGATGAATTGTAGTGCAGTTGGCAGCACATTTGCCTCAGAGTCCAGAAGGTTGTAGGTTCAAATCCCTTTTCAGGAATTGAATGGTTTGACATTCCAGTCCATTATTAAGTGCTGCATTGTCAGAGGTGCTGTCTTTTAGATGAGATGTTAAACCAAGCCCCTGTCTGCTCTTTCAGGGAGAAATAAAAGATCCCGTGCAAATAGTTTGAAGATATATATGAATTGAAGGAAAGCAGAGGAGTTAACTCTAGTGTCCTGGGAAATATTTATCCCTCAATCAACATCACAAAAAACAGATTATCTGGTTATTGTTAAACCCCTGTTTCTGAGGGTTTGCAAATTATATGCAAATTACAGAATGATTACAACATACAAGGAGCCCATTTAACTCATGTCTGCACCAGCTTGCAAAACCAGCATTTCACTTAGTGCCACTGTGCTACTGCCTTCCCATAACCATGCACATTGTTCCTTTCCATATCTCACTCTGAATGCTTTGATTGAACCTGCCTCCATCACACTCTCAGGCTGTGCATTCCAGACCCTAACCATTCACTCTGTGGAAAAGCTTTTTTCATATCACTTCTGCTTTTTGCCAATTACTTCGAATCTATGTCTTCTTGTTCTTAATCCTTTCTTGAGTGGGAACGGTTTCTCCCTATTTAATCTGTTACAGATTCCTCATGATTTTAATGAGATTTCCTCACAGCCTTCCCTCCTCCAAGAAAAATGGTCACAACTTCATAACTGGAGGTTCTGATCTTGGGAACCATTCTCCTCAATATCTCATATGCCTTCACATCCTTCCTAAATTGTGGCACCAGAACTAGATGCAGCCATCCAATTAATGCTGAATTAATGTCTTATGTAAGTTCAACAGAACCTCCTTGCATTCGTTACCACCATGACCACACTCAAAAAGCATTTTGAGAGTTGGTGATCATGAAAAACACTACATAAATACAAAACTTTACTTTTTTATGCTTCAGAATTCCTAGCCTTGCAGTATGTAGAAAGATTTTATTCAGTCCATGTGCAAAATCCAGGTTCAATCTTTAGGGTTATTTTATAGTGAAGAAGGTAAAATAATTGTAGAGAGGAAAGCTCTGACCAATATTAACCTATTATTAAAATATTGCAAAGTTAATCTCATGAAAGCACATATTTTATCAAGAAACCACAAGACTTAGGTCATGGAGTTGGTGAGTAGTGATGATTTCTTGTCACTGACTCTCCAAACAGATGGAATAATCACTTTTAGTTCACTCTGGAAAAGCTCTGTTTTGAAAAGATTTTATTATATCTCCTCTTAGCCTTGTCTGTGGTGAGAATATCCAATTAGTAATCATTCTTTGAATGATGTTCTTTGAGGTCATAAATAGCACATTAGGTGACAGAAGATTGGAAATAAATCAGCCTTCTTTCAAAAACTCAGTACTTGAGCCAATCAGATCCATTCTAGAATATTGTTGTTGATTGGCTAGTCAGTCTAGATCAGTATTTGGCTTTCTTAAATCCCCACTTGGCTCCAGATAATCCATTCAACCTCTGACACAGGCTGCAATGCAGCTCAACTGCTCACTCTAGCTAAATTAGATGATATGTCTATCACCTCCAGAAAATTGGAAATATTGTTCTTGTTGATGAGCATGCAGCATTTTCAATTACATCATGTTATCTACCAGATTCCTATCTCACTTCTAAACCCTCATCCATGTCATTGTCACTGAAGTGCTCTCATTGTTGGCTTCCTGACCTCCATGATACATAACTCCAGAATGAACTTTTTCTTATTGTTAGTTGTGTTGTCTATTCTGCTGCTAGTTCCTAGTTTTTGTCTACTTAGTGAGGACTAAAACACATGTTTGTGGATTATCATTCTGTCAAACCTGTAATTTTGTTCTCTTTGGGGTTGGGAGAAAGTAAGTTGTGTTTCTTTAGAAATAAGTAGCTCAAAATCTTTATCAAACTCAGCACTCCGATACTAAGGAACAGATATACTTTAGTATCGTGTTGATTGATGGATGTCCTAATCTCCTCTCACCCTTATTTTAGTCAACTTCATTTCCCTTCTGTCTCAACACATTGATTTGAAAATCTTCATCCTCATTATAATTCATTTTTCATTGGCCTATGTTCCTTCACAAACTCAACAATCTCAATGTCCTAGTTTGCAAATTGTGATCAGAGTTTTACCCTGTTCCGACTCTGCTTCAGTCTCTTACCATCTATTATATACCCAAAAAGTAACTGTGGCTTTGGCATGACAGTTATTAAAGTCATTACCTGGAGGCTGAGCATGTGAACATATTGAGGGCATATCATGATTGTGTTGTAAAAAGGAAAGCTGCTTAAGGTCTACATGTCTAACTGGTGGAACCACATTCACTGGTAAGTAGCCTACACCCATTTATGTGTTAAGAGATTATGTGATGTACTTAGACATTTTCTTATGGTGAGTTGTGATGTTCATTCTACTACTAGCTCCTAGTTTTTGTCTACCTAGTGAGGACTGAAACACATGTCTGTGGATTATCATACTGTCAAATTGTAATTGTTCTCTTTGGTGTTGGCAGAAAGTAAGCTGTGTTTCTTTGGAAGCAGTTATCAAACTCAGCACTCCTAAATTAAGGAATATACATACGCTAGTATCATGTTGATTTAGGAACTTGGAAAAGTAGATTAGTATTGGACAGTGAGATTTATCCCACTTGACGTAAGATAAACATGAGATCCAATGCCTTGTGGGATTATCCTGGCTGGATAGACATGAGAACATTACAAGTGTTCTGTGCTGGTAGGTGTTGGCTAATTCTTTTCCTTTTAGCTAAGAGATCTGTATTATCAAGAAGTAGTAATATATTTAATTATATGTTTCATTTAGTATCTCAAGACATTCTTCTTAATGGTAAGGCAGTCCCAATATAAATCATGAGTAAAGGTCTCAAAGGTTTTAAAAAATAATCAGTAATCCAGGTCATCCCTTCAACTTTTCTTCAAAGGTTTTTGAAGACCACAATCTAAACTTGCTCTGCGTTTCTTATTACATAGTTTATGAAGGACTTTCATTTACATAGTCCCAATCATGACCTCCAGATCGCCTGAAGCACTTCACAGTCAATTAATCACAACAAACGTTTGAAGCATATGTTAGGAACTAGGTATCAACTGCACATTAACAAACACTACCTGCAAATGAACAGCTTCTGTTGCCTAATTTAGTCGTTGTCTCAGTTTCCATTGTGGTTAACCATCTACAATGATCTCTTCTGCTTCTATTTTGTCTTCCTGTTTTTGTGTCAGCTTTTTGTAGTGTGTTTTGTTCAAATACGTGTATTCAGAAGTTAAAGGACAGTGAAACTCACTATCTCTGCATTTCTGTTCTAGTTAACCCAATTCTGTCCGTAACCCACAGCATCTATTCTGGTATGTATTTTATACTGAAACTGCACACTTAATTATGTCCAACCAGTGGGTTACTTGGTTAAATCTAAACTTTAGGGCAGGTGGCTGTTCCTCGGCTCCACCAACTGGCAGTAGTAGTCAGTGTCCCTTTCACGTTTGCATCCTCTTGAGCAAATAGAAATTTTCCTACATGAGTTCGTCAATAGTTTTATTTTGAACAAGTCAATCTTGACAATTTCAGTGACATTCTTAGGCTTGTACATGGACAAAAAATGCCAAGAGTTGCAGTCATTGCTGAAATTTTGTTATGGGTAAAATTCCACAGTTATTGTTGAAAGCTGAAGCCCAGTACTATGAACACCTCATGGCTGCATTGCATTCAAGAGAAACTTAAGAGTTCTTCATTTTTGCTGACTTGCACATTCATCCACAACTTCCCTAAAGTTTACATGGCCACTTTGTAAATGCCTTCTGAAGATTTCTGATGTGAGAAATATTCCCTAACGAAATAATTTAAATTCGATTGTGCACTAACCCCTGCAGGAATGTTCAAGAAATGTCTTAAAATATTCAACATTATTTGTTGATCTTTCTTTCGAATTGGAATGTAAGTGTGGATTAAGAAGAGATCATCCACCTGACATACTTTCTTCTTTAACATGGTTTATATATTTCGATACTGTTACTGAGTCTCCTCAATTCAGCTTGAGGCAGGGGAAATTTGCCTTGGCTTCAATTCAGCAAAAGATCCTGGACATTAGTGCAGTATTTTGCACATGTTATTCATTCCTGATTGAATTGTCCCAACTGACCAGCAAAGTAAAATGCTTACATTTGCTATGCTTGCGATTTTCATTCCATCTCACCATGGAATTACATCTAGTACTATTCTGAGAAAGATCATCAGCACAGTAACTGGCTGCTGAGAGTACATCTGCATGAAAAGTTTAAGAGCCAATCATACCAGTTTTATACTGCTTTGCTGTGTAACCTTGTTACACCCAACATAATGACTTGATGACTTAGACTCCCTACAGTGTGGAAGCAGGCCCTTTTGGTCCACACCGACTCTCACAACATCCCTCCCAGACCCATCCCTCTATAACCCACCTAATCTACACATTCCTGAACACTATAGGCAACTTAGCATAGCCAATCCACCTAGCCTGCACATCTTTGGACAGTGAGAGGAAACTGGAGCAAATCCGCAGAGACATGGGGAGAATGTGCAAACTCTACACAGACAGTTGTCCAAGTGTGGAATCGAACCCAGGCCGCTGGTACTGTGAGGCAGCAGTGTGGCCCCTATTAATCTCTGCAACAAAACACCATA